TGGGAAGCAAGAAGACAGCTTATGAATTGCTATTAATTAATTGCTATAAATGTACCCCACCCCCCACCCATGGGGGAAGCTGAAGTCAAAGATTAAGTGCTACTGATAAATATCATAAAGCCTGCCATTTGAAATAAATAAATAATTTTTTAATGGAAGCCTTCGGAATGACCACGATAGGAATTAGAGCCATATTCGACAAACGTCTTTAATTGCCTCTTTTTTGCATTGGAAGTTCAAAACTTCCAATTTCAGTTATCTCAGCTCTGAAATGCTAGTTCACATATGTTACAAGATCACTAGGATAAAATTTATTTCAAATGGCAGGCGTTTGATAGCTATCAACAGCCATTTAGCTGACTTCGGGCTTCACAGAGGGAAGGTTCATCAAAGTAGAAGAAAGTCGAGGGGTGCGGAACAGAAGAGCATTTCATAGATGTAAAAGAGGGAGACAGACACAAAGATAGAGAAAAAGGTAAGATGAACACTGTGAAAGGGGTCGAATATGACAAGCAGTCGGGCCATGGTAGTTTGAAGTGAGAAGTCAACTGCCGGTTAATAGACTTTTTGCCCTATGGATATACATTGCTCAGGATACACCACGTGCAGGTAAGTCTATTGCACACCTCTTTTAAGCAAATATAATCGTCTTCCCTCTTGAACACAGGATCGCATTCTATGTTTAGCACCATTGACTGTCGCGCTCAATGAGGACTAGTACTTTTCAGAGATAGAAACATTAAATTAGAGTCTTAATCATGGAGAATTTATTGTTTGCCACCAAAATAAGGAAGTTTGCAAAATAAACGACTTGTTATAATGACAAGAATGAAGTGGAAATTCGCTAGAAGTTGTAATAATGGGAAAATTTAAATTTTAAGCCAATGAATGTTAGTTAGAGTTTAGGCAGCTCAACACAATTAAGTCTATTCATCAGATACCATTTCAATTTACCGTGGCCTTACTCCAATCCCATTTTTTGATCTGGGGTTATTTTTGCCTTTTTAATTATTTCATCAAACTGAATAATTAAATAATTGTTTATATCAATATTTATTATATCATTTGAAAGAACGTGATTATTTACACTAACGCTTATTTTTTCTAGTGAAAATTATGCCCTCAAGGTTGAAGCGTCTTTTAGCACTTGCCAATTTTCCAACTATCTTGGGTTCTTCCTTCTGCGGGATGACGACTCTAGCTGAGATACCTACATGTGAAAGTTTTTTCTCCAGTATGTCATAGTGTTAACGATTTATCAATGAGCATCATAATAAAGTTGGCGATTATGTGTGTTATTTCAAGCTTACTCGTTTCTGCCTAGGGTCTTGATTTTCAATTATGATTGTTTAGACTTGTATAATCCTCAGTTATTTATTTTACAAACAGATTTCACTCTATTTCCTTTCATTCTTTGATGTAGTTAATTGTTCATTTTTATGGGCAGATTTACCTAAAAGACTTGTTCTATCTCACCAAATTTGGAAGTATTAATATTGTAATTTGTCAGGCAAGTACTTTTATAACTTGAGTTTAACACAAAATTCTATGTATATGCTTTTTATGATTTACTTTTTTTAACTAACTGAAACTTTGTTATTTGCCCTCTAATCCTCCTTTTCTCTATTTGATGAGCGTTTTCTCACTAAAGCATCAAGGAAATCCGAGTTTTTCTGTTTTTGCTTGAATCACAAAGTACCGAATGAACGCCAACTAGATCTAGTAAAGCTGGTTCTAAATCTACAATCGAATCCGTTTTTTATAATATTTTTGGGACGTCGGCCCATTTTCATAGAATTTATTGATACCATCATACTCGCTGAAATAGCTAGAAAGTCAAATCGCGTTTACTTCTCTCATGTAGGCTACTGGTTCTTACTACGATCTGACTTGTATATTCAGTCAGGCACTTCTGGGCTTTCTAGCAACTGGAAGTAAGAGTTAATTTGTACCGTGGATGAAAATTGCTGTGTTAGACGAATTCTTAGGATTTGTTTGTATTTGTTATAATTTCATTCTGTTAAAGCTCTTCCGCATTCTCCTATGCTTATCAGAGAGACTTCTTGGTCTATTCTGTCTACCTGATGAAATGGATGCAATAAACACCCGGTCGCAAATTAAAACTGGTATTTTGATGGATGTGTCCGTTATCTACTGAGACTCATTCATACCCTTACTCCTACTATTAAATCCAATCCCTTATCTCATCTGTGCTTCATTCTTAACTTTAATTTCTTGTGCGCCTAACCATTACTTTAACTTATTTATTGTTCTCATTTCTTTTTTGTTTCACTTTACCTATTTCTACATTTTTAGAAAAATCGGAAGCCCCATATGAAGGTCGTATGATGCAAAGGTTGAGTTTTATCCAAGCAGACATCACAAAGTTAGCTGTCGATGCTATCGCAAATGCAGCAAATTCATCGTTGCTAGGTGGTGGTGGTGTTGACGGTGCAATCCACCGTGCCGCTGGTAATAGACTCTACATGGAGTGCAAAACCTTGGGTGGTTGTCCGACAGGGTCAGCTAAAATTACCGGGGGTTATAATCTGCCTGCTAAATGTGCGTGTCTCACTTTCTACCTCAATTGTATTTGATTCTACTTCTGAAATACTAATAGGTAGTTGCGCGTTATATTGTAGATGTTGTTCATTGTGTTGGACCAAAGAATGGCAATGCGGATTCTCTGCGTTCCTGCTATAAAACTGCATTGAATCTCTGCACAGAGAATAACATAAAGAGTATTGCTTTTCCATGCATTTCAACGGGAATATATGGTAAATTTTCTTTTCCAAAATGTCCACCGGTATTTCACTTGAATTGTGTCGATAAATCGGTTAATTGCTTTTCGTTTTGTGCAGGTGGTGTGTTTGTGTGCGATACTCCTTGAAACTAAAGAAAGTTAATAAATATGGCTTAATTTTTCTTGTCTTGTAGGTTTTCCGAACGAACCTGCAGCTGAAATTGCCTTGACTACAACCTTAGAATACTTGGAGAAACACCCCGAGGTATGCTATTTTTATCTTTCGGTTTATTGAGAACCGCTTTGTGATTTGTTAATTGCGTCACTGTTTTCTATTTAAAGAACATTTGTTTTTGATTTCTAATGGCAAATGATCCGAAACTTTCAAATGTGCACCTTTCTATATTTAAACTTATATGTTGTTGTTCAACATTTTTTTTCTTTTCTCAACTCTTTTTGCTCTAACTTATCTCAATTCCATTGTTTAGATCGAGCGCGTGATATTTTGCTGTTTCTTGGATGAAGATTACAAAATCTACGAGAATTTGCTGTTAGCAAAGTACAAAGAGCAGAATCCCTAATCGTCCTTACCGTCTCTATGCCCTCCTATTGAGTGCCTTCGAAGAGCCTCTTGTTGTCTGACCAACTTTGTTTGTTTACGGAAATATAAGCGCTGAATTTACAAATATCGATCTCTTTCTGTTTTAACTATGGAAGTTTGTGGGGTTTCGTAATGTCTACTAACTTGTTGTTATTGTCTCAACTTACGATAGTTTGAATTTGTACAGGCAGTCGAATTCCATGAACTAATCACTTTTTAAATGATATGGACGATGGCAAGAAAGTATTGGTAGCATAAAGAAATGGGTAGTGAAGGAGCCTAATGGGCTTGGTGGTTTGCATTTGTTCAATAATGGAAGCCTCTAAACGTGGACTGCACGCAGAACACTCAACAGATATCCACTTTGTCAAAGTTTATCGTCGTAGGATTTCGGTAAGTATGATGCTACTTAAGCAGTAAGAGTAGGCTTTGTAACCTGAGCTCGAATATTCCTGACCAAAATCTAAATAGATATCGGTAATGTAATTTCCTGCCCTACTTCGTCCCAATTCTAGGTTAATTGAGGAATCACTTCCACGGGAAGAAAGCTCTCTGTCCACTGATACTTATTCATAACTTATCATATTTCCTTTCTTAATCATTTTTAATGGAAGCCTTCGGAATGACCACGATAGGAATTAGAGGCATATTTGACAAACACCTTTAATTGCCTCTTTTTTTGCATTGGAAGTTCACAACTTCCAATTTTAGTTATCTCAGCTCTGAAATGCTAGTTCATATAAGTTGCAAAATCACTATAGTAAAATTTATTTCAAATGGCATGAGTTTTGATAGCTCTCATCCAGCCATTTAGCTGACTTCGGGCTTCACAGAGGGAAGGTTCATCAAAGTAGAAGAAAGTCGAGGGGTGC